CGCATTTGTACGCTGATCAGTGGGGTGTTGATTAGTGCTCTGATCGGTGCACTGATTGCGGGTGCTGAGTGGTGTGGTGGTGAACTGATCGGTGTGGAAGCTGGCTGGCATGCTGGAGGGCGTGCTGATATGCCACCATAGTACGATTTGGTCGTCACCAAACGCAGGTGCTCAAAGCAGCGGCGACGCAGGTGCTCAAAACAGCGGTGAACGCGGACGGGTCAAGGACTATGCCACGTCAGCACTCGATAAAATTTGTCACAAATGTCAGATATTAGTGAAGGAAAAGGAAGGTGACGAAGTATAAAGAAAACGAGCAAAGAGAAAGGGGGAGGAAAGGGGGAAGAAGAATTCATCGCAAAGGTGCACTATCGGAAGGAAAGTGGGAAGAATAATTCATCGCAAAGGTGCGCTATCGGACCAGGATCGAGTATCTGGTTTGATGATAGCAGATCAAGAAAAGTAACACAAGTTGGAGCGTTGTTGAATGAAGAATGCTGAAGGAGCAGACATTCCTTGAAAGTGACGAGGAGCGCATGACGATAGGCAACAGAAACAAATTTTATCTCTCTTCTCCACCTTTGCCATACCCACTCCTTGTTTGTCCCCCCTCTCGCTTACCCATCCAGTCCTTTATGTGAAAAAAAAAAAAAAAAAAAAAAAAAAAAAAAAGGGAGAAACAACATAAAGGACATCAGCATAATAATCATCAAAACGACCTGTAGATCTGCTGCGTCTGAAATCACAAGTTAGAACTTACAACTCTTCATCATGACCAGAGTAACGAAGTATCAGAGGGCACATAGACAGGTCGATTCAATGATGATGTTCCAAGGGGCTATGAGACAGATCGCGACGAACTTTTTACACACACCAGCTAAAACAGTCCTGCAGTCCCGACCAAAACATCATCTGCTCATGAGATCATTTTTCGTTACTCCTGATGATGAAATCCTTACGGAGGAGGAGAGACAACAACTATCCAGACCCCTCCCTCTTATTACACACAATTCCTCAATCATTGGCAACGACCGGAATCTTCAGATATCCCCAATCACTTCTCTCCTTACCACCAACATAGGGCAAGACAGTACGGGATTGTCTTCACCAGGGAGAAGAATGATGATAAATCCATTGTATCACTCTGATGACATCGTAAATCCTCACTTGCCTCTCTCTACTTTGTCTTCTCGCACAGAAGCAAGTGCAAATTGCTTGTCACAAGGTGTCTCAAACCAATCGGAAATTGCTCTATCTCAGGAGGATGGCAAGGGAGACAATATAATTTTACATGGTCCCAAGGAAAAGAAGGCATAGATAAGCAGCACATTGCTAACCCAAAGATGGACATTGTAGAATTTCCCCCTTTACAAGGGGTGGAGGAAAGAGGAGGAGGAAGGGGGAGAGGCAGGGGAGATGGGGGATGGAATGGTGGAGGAGAACGAGGAGGGAGGGGGGGAAAACGAGGAAGGGGAGGAAGGGGGGGGKGGGGAGGAAGGGGGGAAGGGATGCAATGGGTTAAAACTTAGAAGTAACGGGATAAGAGGGGGAGAGGCAAAAATATAATTTAATAATACAATTTCATCTACACCAGCCGCATAAGTGGAGGGATCACAGGATCAGAACCCTCCTATTTTTTCTTGGATTCAAAAAGCAAAAGTCCCGTATCAATCCAGAATTCTGGAAATTAAACGGCCTGGTGTACAAGCAAAACCTCTTCAGATCCCCCTTGCCAACATCGCCACTGCACGTGCCTTTTTTCTTTCAAAATTCATCAGCCCTTCGGAGAGTAAGGTGGTTGAATCCGGAGGGAAGAAGTCAATGGTTAAAATGTACCCCACTCATAAGTTAGCAGAAAGGGATATTATCTATCAAGAGCATGCAAACAACTGGGTATTTCATGATGACGCGGCATACAAGTCAACCAATGATAAAGTTAAATGGATATGTAAATGGTTAGCGCAGTTAAAAGGGAGCCATGAGGCTGTAGTGGAGGATTTTTTGATTCAGCCTGTCTCGACAACCGTTTTTACAGTGCTTTGTATGCATGTCACAAACAAAAAAATAATTGATGATTGGAGGAAACTCTGTTGTGACAGGTTAGAAGTCAGAATATATCCATGGACTTCCCAAAAGCAGGGACCGGATGAGCGGCGCCGTCAGATGATGGAGGATTTCTATTGGGTGGAATTTTGCCACATCCCAATAGAATTCAGGCGGCCTTCGTGCATGATTTTGGGGAGGTACATGATATAGTTGATTTTATTGACCCTCTCCCAGCGTATGCAGCACGAAGAGATGACTTTTTGATGTTGGCTTTGAATCACCCCTTCAATCTTCCTTTCAACCTAGATGATGTTATCCCCTACAGCTGTGTGTCCATTCAACTCGCAACGGGATTTATTCAACTCCCTTGAACCCGTTGAATGGCCATGAGGCCCGAGTTGAATCCCCGTTGAATGGTATAACGGGGGCTTCCCGTTGAATTCCGATCAACGGGTCGATCGCAATGGGGCTCGGACACGTGGCGGGACACGCATGGAGTAAAAAAAAGTTAAAAAACCACCCTCTGTGTGTGTGTGTGTGTGTGTGTGTGTGTGTGTGTGAGAAAGGGTGGGGGGTGGGGGGGCGACCCATCCCCTACCAATCAATCAATCAATCAATCAATCAAAAAAGAAAAGAAAAAAAGAAAAAAAAAAAGAAAAAAAAAAGCGGGAAAACCCGCTTTTGAAAGCCGGGTTCGAAAGCCGGTTTTCCCACTTTTGTTTTTCCTTTTCTTTCTCTTTTTTGATTGATTGATTGATTGATTGATTGGTAGGGGATGGGTCTGGGTGAGGGGATGGGTCTGGGTGGGGGGTGGGGGTTCACTTCTTTTTTCTTTTTTGATTGATTGATTGATTGATTGATTGATTGATTGGTAGGGGATGGGTCGTCCCCCCAACCCCCACCCAATCTCTCTCTCTCTCTCACACACACACACACACACACACACACACACACACACACACACACACACACACACACACACACACACACCACCACGCCGAAGTTGCGCGGGCAAAAGCAGCTTTTTTTTTTCTTTTTTTTTTCTTTTTTGATTGGTTGATTGATTGATTGATTGGTAGGGGAGAGGTCTGGGTGGGGGGTGGGGGGGCGACCCATCCCCTACCAATCAATCAATCAATCAATCAATCAA